CATAAGAAACAAACAAAAATGGTCTCAAATACTTTCTTCTATAAATGAATTTAATTATCACAAAAATTGATAGTAAAACACGTTAAGAAAATTTTAAAGCTAACATGAATCTACTAATTCTAAGAACAAAACCCAACAAATAATCTTAAGGAAAACATTTATTTATTGCTAAGAACAACAACGGATAAATAGGTAGAAAACATACGAAGAAGAAGATATAAGTTTCTTATTATTCCCGATGAGTGTTCTTTAAGAAAATTGTGATCTTCATCGTTTCCTTTTTTAATGTTCACAGTTTTCTTTTTTTAGTTTCTTTTCCTCTGGTTTTCATTATTATTAATTGACTTCTTTTTAATTGAAGGCCGTAAAATTGTGGGTCACAAGCCATCGGTGGTCGATTTACGGAAGAGAGTGAATGGAGGCATGGAGCTTATTGAAAAATCGAAAAATGTAACCATACGTTCGATAAAATAAGACCAACAAGCACGAAAATGAATCTAGACCACGTTAGGGTTCACAAACAAAGACAGTCAGAACTAGACTTTATCTTCTTCTTTTTTTTTGAATAAAATGTTAAATTTATTCAAACCTAAAAAAGTACAATAATCTTTTCAGATTATATGTGCCTTAAAACTGAAAAACGGAAAAAAAGAAAGTTTAACAAAATTCGAAAATTATATTATCAAGATGAAGACTTCAGTTTTGTGGCCGGGATCCGAACCATTTGATCAGTTAGAACTGGACTCTACCTTCACCTATGTGTGATACTGGTCTAGCTCTCCATACACACCTAACCACACTCACTAGTCACTAATCCATATGTTGCTACAATGGATGATACTTCTCCTTGTTGTTGACAATGTGGACTGTCAAGATTTCTCTTCTGGTAGAACATGGGAAGCTTGACTTGGTCCAATTAATAAATTGGACCCCATGCAAGTCGAAAAGTCAAAGTCTTTTTTTTGCTGTAGTCACCAAAAGAACTGTAAAGGAAAATGTATGTATGTACGTCTTCCTTAAATCATATAGGGAAATTCGAGATCCAAATTCACATACATCAATACTTTTTTTTTTTTGAAAAATTCACTAACCAACACAACTGTTCAATTAACGGAGTTAACTGGTCTCTTACCTAAATTGAAGGTTTATACAGCTAAAGTTGTCACTTTGAAAGTTTACAGTGTAAATGACAAACTCTAAGGCTTAAAATGTTAGTGATTATCACTTCGAAAACTTTTATACGATTTCCTCCCCCCCAAAAAAAAA